GCCGTTCACTGAGACCTGTGCTGAGCCTGGGGCAGAGGTCTCAGAGGCCCCGGGACTCCGGGCTGGCCCGGAAGCCTCCACCCCAATCATGGAGGCTCTCAGTTCTCCGATAGGATCTTGGGTGGGGGCGTAGGGGGCTTCCCACCCTCCTTGGCCGAAGCCTCGGAAGTCTCCGAACAGGGCACCTGGGGTGGTTCCGCACTCTCGGGCACAGGGGGCTCCTCGGGGCTCGAGTTGTCCCAGCTCACCTTCAGTTTTTCAGGCAGGACCCTGGGGAGCTGCTCAGAGGAGCTGTCCTCCCCCACTGCAGTCTCTGAGTCTTCCTGGCTCTCAGGCTGCGCCTCGGAGCTTGCTGAGACAGGGGTGGGGGCTCTCTCCCCCACAGGGGTCTCCCCTCTGTCACCAAGGACGGTCACCTCGGGAGCTGGGGAAGGCTTGGCAGGAGGCATGAGGGGCCGGAGGGCCTCCCGGGGCTGGGCTGCGTTGACGTCATTGCCGGGGGTAAGCACTGGCGGCCTGCTGTCCAGAGCATCGAGGTCCAGGCGAGAAAGTCCATCAGAAGCTGCGCTGGCTACCTGGTGGGGGCAGCATATGGACATCATCATGGATGACTGGCCTTTGGGTCTGATGTGCCTGCCCACAAGGGTCCTAAAGCCCTCCCATCCAGGCTGCCCAGGTCCCCGGGCCCCTCTCCACGCCCTCTGATGAATCCTCTGCTCTCTCACTTGGAGAATTCCCTGTGTCAGAATCACAGGCCAGAGGTCAGACCAGGCTGTCCTCTCGGTGCCCCAACCGGCTTCTTCCAGCCAAGGAAAGAGGCCGCTCTTTTAGTAGCCGTTGTCCTGGCCTGGGCAGCCGGGCACATGGGTCCAGCCCTGTTTCTGACCCTTCCTGGCTGTGTGGCCTTGAGAGGGTTCCCTCTCTGCACCCACCCACCCAGTAGGTGTCAGGACAAGGACTCAATATAAGTCTGCAGCATGGTGTGCGCTCACTCACTTCTGCTTCCCCTCCCTGGAGATCTCTGTCCAGGCTGCCAGCCCCACACCCAGCCCTCTGGCCCAGATCTCTCCAGCCCTCGCCTGCCCAGCTGCTCAGCAGCTTGTGCCCACTCTCCTCACATGGTCAGATGTGGCCCCAGGCACAGGCAGCCCTAGACCACAGCTGACTGCCAGAGGGGAACAGCTGCACCAAGCAGACAGCTGCCACCAACTTGGCCCCAGGGCTCTGCAGGGACACCCCGCAGCCACACCTGGTCCTGGGGACCTTCCCAGGGAGCCCCAGAGGCCCGAGAGCAGGGCTGGGCAGCAGGCCCCTCCCTGGTCCCTCAGGTGGTGGGGTCCTGGCAAGGACCCTCACTCCCCTTTACATGCACACAGGTGAACCGGCGACACACACGTTCAGTCACTGGGATGAGAGTCCCTCTCTGAACCGGCTGGCCCTCCCCGCACCTCCTAGATCTCCCCCCTCAGGTATGCCTTGCCGCTCTGGTTACTTCAGTCCTTCCCTCTGCGGCTTTCCCCTCGGCTGACAGACATGAACAGGCTGCCTCACCTCAAAGCAAACTCTTTGATGACCTTGGCCCCCTCCCTTCCCCCTCTGTCTTCCTCTGGTCTCCTACTCCAGCACCCTTAAGCTCTGCACCCCATGACAGTCCCAAGCTGAC